CCATTAGCCCCACCACCCCCAGCACCTTTCCCTGCAACTGCAGGAGGTGCTACACCTGCCCCTACACCTCTCCCCTCACCTCCATCCCAGGCCCCAAGAAAACCTTCCACATTTAACAGATGTTCACCTGCACATCCGCTAATGTGGTCTATTGTGTCCGCTGTTCCTAATGTGGCCTCCTCTACATTGGGGAGACCAAATGGAGGCTTGGAGACAGCTTTGTGGAACACCTACGCTTGGTTCACGACAAACGACAACACCTCCTAGCCGCGAACCACTTCAACTCCCCCTCCCACTCCCTGGACGACGTGTCCATCTTGGGCCTCCTCCAGTGTCACAATGATGCCAGCCAAAAACTGGAGGAACAGCACCTCATATTCCGCCTTGCAACCCTACAATTCAATGGTCTCAATGTGGACTTTATGAGCTTCAAAATCTTCCCACCCCCGACCACATCCCAAGACCAGCACCCCACCATCCCCGCCTCCTTGACCTGTCCGTCTTCTCTCCCACCTATCTGCTCCTCCCACCTCACTGACCAACCTCCACTTCCTACCTACACTCACCTACTAGCTTCATCCCCACCTCCTTGACCTGTCCGTCTTCCCTCCCACTTACCCGCTCCTCCCTCCTCACTGACCAACCCCCATCCCAACTCCCTACCTACACTCACCTTTACTAGCTTCATCCCTGCTTCCTTGACCTGTCCGTCTTCTCTCCACCTATCTGCTCCACTATCCACCTTCTATCACTGCCTCCCCCTCTCTGCATTTATTTCAGAGCCCCCTTCCCCTCCCCCATTTCTGAAGAAGGGTCCAGATCCGAAACGTCAGCTTTCCTGCTCCTCTGATGCTGCCTGGCCTGCTGTGTTCATCCAGCTCCACACCTTGTTATCTCCTTTCAACAAAGACTTATCGAAAATTGCCAAAAGTCAACCTAAGTGTTTTTTTTCCAGGGTATGAGTGTTTCCCCTCATAAAAGAAAAAAAATCCCCTTTTAAATTGAAAGCCCAGTGCATAAATGTTTATGTTGTTTGCTCCTACTCAGTCAAACTTTAAAACCCGCACCACCATTCCTATAACTTGTCTGCTTCCAAAAAGCATAAGTCAAGAGTATAATAGAAAACTGTCTAGTTGCTGTCAGACACATATCCGACACTGAAGAAACCATCCAGAAGAAAGCAATCTGCTTGACTTGCACCTCATCTACACCCTCCATGACTGATGTGCCATTGGGTCAAAATTGTGGCACTGTCTCCCTTACATCACTGTGGGTGTACCAACACCACAAGGACTACAGGGGCTCAAAAATCTTAAGAGCAATTATAAAGGGACAGTAAATTCTGGCCAGCGATATCCATAACTTTTGGACAAATATAGAAAAAATTAGGAATTTCAATGCAAGTTGTGTTTAGGGAAAAATCAAATTTCAGGGGTCTTTTGTATTTCTTTAAAAAAAATAACACACGAACCTGGCCTGCCTGCAAAGCTTTGCATATCACAGATTGAATTAATCATCATGATGAGCTTAAGCTAACTGTGCCCAATTGGAAACCTTGATGGCAGCTATTTTTTAGATGCAAGGGATCTCATGGATACATTTTTAAAAACTTGAATTTTTTTTAAGTGACTGACTGTAGAAAACAACTACAAACACAGATACAGCTCAGGTATCTTTTAGTGTCACCGCAGGTTGTCATTTTAAGCTGTTCAATAAACCTGTATAAGTTTTCTAGTTAATTTATTGAAAGACAAGCCATCTACCCTCACAGAATGAAACACTTACCCTGGAGGAGCAAGCAGCGAGCTGGAGTCGCCAGGTACTTGCTCTGACTTTCATGTTGGGAATTGTCGTCATCTAGTTTCTATCAGGTGTGTGGGAGAATGAGAAACCGCATATGAATGACATGAGGTTAGGTAATAATGAGATGTTAATGCATGTAAATAGATCTCTCGCTGCACTCTAGCGAGAATCTGATTTTGTTGTTCAATATTTCGTTGGAAAATGGGATTTTTTGGTTGGGACATCCAAGTATTTCAATAAAGGGGTATCAGCAGATTAAGAATAAAGATTTGTTCACACACAATGGACTGTGTACAGCTGCATGAAAGCCACCACTAAAGGTGGGATGATCAATGTCCACAGATTCAGAAGAAACTGCCTGCCTCAGAAGTTCAGAATACTGTCAAGAAGAAATAAAAACCAAAAGAACTGCGGATGCTGCAAATCAGAAACAAAAACAGAAATTGCTGGGAAAGCTCAGCAGGTCTGGCAGCATCTGTGAAATCAGAAGGTCACTGGACCCGAAATGTTAACTCTGATTTCTTTTCACAGATACCGCCAGACCTGCTGAGCTTTTCCAGCAATTGCTGCTTTTGTGTAAAGAAGAAACAGCCTGACTCAGAATCTAAGATACCGTAAAAAAAAAAGAGAATACCTCTTTCATCAGGCAGCTGTCTCCGTGAAGGAAGTTCATGAGCTTAAGGATATTTCAGATGAGGTAATAAGCCAATTCAGCAGAAACAACATCTCTGTGAAGGACATCTAAGATAGCAAAGGATCCCCAGTGGAGAGAGACTTTATAGATCAGAATAGAATCAAGGTCAAAGTGCTCAAGTCAAGGACCTACCAATCTTCCTAATCTGAAGAGAACATTGTCGGAAAAGTGGAAACCTCCAGGCTGCCTGAATTTGATAAGTCAAAGGTGCATGTTGGTGGAGTTGGTGAATGTAACTATGTACATGGATGTATAAATGTGACTCATTGGAAGAAAGCATTGGGGAGATCTTGTGTAAGGTAACGATTCTGAAACTGACAACGCTGAAGACTGCATTACACTCCACAGAAATCAATCTGTCTGGACTTGAATGGGAATACCTATACACCTTAGGATCTTGATGGAAAACCAGTTATCCTAAGCCTCACAAAGGTCTTTGGGGTAGCACGGTGGCTCAGTGGTTAGCACTGTTGCCTCACAGCGCCAGGGATCTGTGTTTGATTCTAGATTCGGACAACTGTGAGTGTGGAGTTTGCACATTCTTCCCATGCCTGAGATAACAAGGTGTAGAGCTGGGTGAATACAGCAGGCCAAGCAGCATCATAGGAGCAGGAAGGCTTGCTGTGTTCATCCAGCTCTACACCTTGTTATCTCAGATTTTCCAGCATCTGCAGTTCCTACTATCTCTTCCCATGCCTGTGTGGGTTTCCTTCAGGTGCTCTGGTTTCCTCCCACAGTCCAAAGATGCACAGGCTAGGTGGATTGGCTATGCTAAATTGCCCATAGTGTCTACGGTAGGGGTTGGATCTGGGTGGGATGCCCTTCTGAGGGTCAGTATGGACTTGATGGGCCAAGTGGCCTGCTTCAAATGGCCTGATTCTATGAACAACATGGAGTGTACTAATGTAACTTGATCACTCTCATCTAATAAATTACATCATGCTTAAGACAAGAGCCACTTCTTGTTAGACAGCCTAATGTTTATTCCTCTTCGGATCAAGTAGAGTCCATTGATGCAGTCAGAGCAGGAGGTTGGTGTAAGCAATTTACCCAACCATGTTAGTAGTGATTGGCATTGCAAGGTCATGGACAATGATCTTATCAGCTACTTCTTGTCTCTAGTCCATTGTTCTTGACTCCTTTGTCTATTAAAAAATGTATCGAATTCAGTCTTGAACAAATTTAAAGGCCCAACCTCCACTACCTTCTGGGGAAGAGAATTTCATTTAGTAATGACCATCTGAGGAAATAAAAATGCTCCTCAAGTTGCCTTAAATGTGAGTCCTCTTATTCTTAAATATATCCCCTGATTTTAGTCTTCCCCAGAAATCGAATCATCCTTCAGTTATCCACATAACTCACACGCACCAACATCCCCACCCTCTGCTGCACACCTCACCTCCTTAGAAGGAAATTTGCACTTTGTGTCGCTGTTGATATACTCCTCTTTCAATTTCCAGTAAAAGTAGAACATGGCTTAGCTGATTGTCATGGAACAGGAGACAGGCATGGGCCAGACTTGTATCATATATGGCAATATCAACAGTATATTGCAGCTGATGACCATGTTCTTATCACAGTTGACAGGAAAGTTACTCTTAGTTTAACTCAACTTTGATATGTTCCTCCCGTTCTTGATGCATACCCCAAACTATTTTGCCAGTACTTTTAAGTAATCTAAACAAAAAGTCAAATGCAACTTGGCCGGTAAAACCATTGTTTGCATCAAGAAGAAACAGATAGCCTTTGTCAACTCGTATAGTTTGAGCTTTGACTGTTCACTTCTACTTGCTGTTGTCTGAAGCTTCAGAGATAGAGGATAAGAAGAACCGGAAGGTCAAACTATGTTTAGGCTTCTGACATGAAAGGTTTTGCTGAATCTTGTTTTGTCTAGTTGCAAGGATGTTACTGAGCCACATTATTCCATTAGACCACTAATCACAAACTCTTCTACATATTTTTTGAAAAAGATACAAGAGCACATATCATCTTGCTCCACAAAATGGATGGACCTTAAACCAAAAGATACCTTGGAGGACTCTGGGACAAACGTGCCTGCTGGCACTTCACGTTTTGGAGCTCCTTCCTAACATTGACCACCATTGACTGCAGCTGCAGCAGATCTGTACGCTATTCTAGAATCGGGACATTTACCTCTCTCTCTCTCTCATACACACTCACATACATTTGGAATATCTTTTGAGAATGAAGAAATTCATAATATTTGCCTTGATCACTTCCACCAGTATATCGTGGAATCAGGAGTTTCATGTTGCTTCAACATTTCAAATCTGTCTTGAATTCCATGATGTTTTCTGAGGGTCAGTAGTTTTATGTTTAGATTCTGTATCTCCCTATCTGCCAATCTTCAAGTCTTCTAATAAATGACAGTCAGCTGGTGGAAGGCAGCGGTCAGAGGAAAACACTGCTGTGATATCAGTGGAACCACGAGTAGTTGAAACACAAATACAATAGCTGTTTTAGAAGGATAAAAACGCCTTACAAAAGCACAGACCATTTTTCAACTTTGCATGTTATCCTTGTGCAGGGGCCTATGATAATGTTCTCTGTACCATTTCAATTTTGGATTACTTGAGGCCAAAGTGAAAACAGTATTTTTTTCATAACTCACTTCTTAGACACAAACTCTTCCCTTCACTGCCTTCATGTGTTCTTAATGTACTGACCTGAATTTGACACATCACACAAGTCCAGACTGATCAGAGTAGCGTGAATATAGAAACAGGAGATAGTCACTCAGCCTCCAGGGCCTATTCCACCATCTGCTATAGACCATAGGTGATCTGCATGTTAACTCAGCTTACTCACCTTTTGACTGGATGTCACATTACTCTTGCATCAAAAGATACTATGAATTTATCTTTAAAATTCAATTGACCTAGTAAATCAACTTCTCTCTGAAGAAAACTTCAGATTTACACAAACCTTTCCATGAAAAAGTTTTTCCTGAATGCTTTTTGAAATGGTTTTGTTCAACTAAGGAGTTGATGGCCTAGTTTTTTATCCCTCCAAAAATTCTGTTCTGGGACCCAGGTTTGAATGCTGCCATGGTAGTTGGTGGATTTTAATTCAATTAAAAAAAAAATCTGGAATTGAGAATCTACTCATGACCAAGAAACCATTGCTGATGGGTGAGGAAAAAGCTGTCTAATGGCCTTCAGTGAAGGGAATCTGCCATTCTCACCTCATCTGGCCTACATGTTACTCCAGACTCACAACGATGTAGTTCAGTCTCAAATGCCCTCTGAAACAGGCTGCAAGCCAATAAGTTCAATGGTACTAGGAACAGGCGACAAATGCCGGCTAGCCAGCAACATCCACTTCCCATGAGTGAATTTAAAAAAAAATTAAGATTAGCCCTTCTTGTTCGGAATTCTACACTGGAAGAAGTGGTTTCTCTGTATCCATCTTATTGAGCCCCTAAATTATTTTCAATACCACAATTTGTTCTCACGAATAAGATCAAGGGTATATTGTCTAAGCTTATGCAACTTTCAAACCCTAGTTTCAGTGGCAGATTGGCTGAAGCACATGCAGAGATGGACAGTAAAGTGATGGAAAGTGTCATCAGTAGTGCTATCAAGCAGCACATGCTTAGCAATAAACTGCTCTGTGACGCACAGTTTGGGTTCCGTCAAGGCCACTCAGCTCCTGACCTCATTACAGTCTTGGTTCAAACACGGATAAAAGAGTTGAATTCCACTGCCCTTGACATCAAGTCTGCATCCGACTGAGTTTGGCATCAAAGAACCCTAGCAAAACTGGAATCAATGGGAATGAGGAGGCAAACTGTCTACTGGTTTGAGTCATACCTGGCACATAGGAAGATGGTTGTGGTTGTTGCAGATCAATTATCTCAACTCCAGGATATCTCTGCGGGAGTTCTTCAGGGTAGTATCCTAGGCCCAGCCACCTTCAGCTGCTTCATTGATGTCCTTCCCTCCATCATAAGGGCAGAAGTGGGAATGTTCACTGATGATTGCACAATGTTCAGCACCATTCAGGATTGCTCAGATACTGAAGCAGTCCATTGTTCAAATGCAACAAAATCTGGGCTGACAAGTAGCACATAACATTCATGCCACACAAATGCCAAGCAATGACTGCCTCCAATAGGAGACAATCTAACCACCATCCCTTGACATTCAATGGTGTGACTATCACTGAATCCCCCACTATCGACATCCTGGGGGTTAGCATTGATCAGAAACTCAACTGACTCAACACATAAACATAGTGGCTACAAGAGCAAGTCAGAAGCTAGGAATACTGCAGCAAGTAACTCACCTCCTGACTCCCCAACGCCTGTCCATCATCTACAAGCACAAGTCAGGAGTGTGATGGAATACACCCCACTTGCCTGGATGGGTACAGCATTCATTCCTCCCACCATCGACACTCAGTTGCTGCAGTGTGCAGTATCTACAAGATGCATTATAGAAATTCGCCAAAGATCCTTACACAGCGCCTCCCAAACCTGTGACCACTCACATGTGGAAGGGCAATGGCAGCAGTTACTTGGGAACACCACCACCACCTGCAAGTTCCCCTCCATGTGACCTACCATCCTGACTTGGAAATATATCGCCATTCCTTCACTGTTGCTGGGTCAAAATCCAGGAATTCCCTCCCTAAAGCCATTGTGGGTCCATCTACAGCATGTGGACGGCAGCAGTGCAAGAAGACAGTCCACCACCACATACTCAAGGGCAACTAAGGACATGCAATAAATGCTGGCTCAGCCAGTGAGACCCATGAAAACTTAAGGGAGAAAGTTGATTGCTTTCCACCATTTTCAGACATGGGGTGTGGAGGTGAATGAATGGGGTGGCACGGTGGCTCAGTGGTTAGCACTGCTGCCTCACAGCACCAGGGACCCCGGTTTGATTCCAGCTCGGGCGACTATCTGTGCGGAGTTTGCACATTCTCCCTGTGTCTGCGTGGGTTTCCTCCTGTTTCCTTCCACATCCAAAGATGTGCAGGCTAGGTGGATTGGTCATGCTAAATTGCCCACATAGTGTTCAGGGATGTGTCGATTAGGTTGGTTAGAGGGGGATGGGTCTGGGTGGGATGCTCAGAGGGTCGGTGAGGACTTGAAGGGCCTGTTTTGACACTGTAGGGACTCTACGATGATTTCCATTTAGCTGCATCCAGTCCTGTTGAGGCAGCCAGCACACAAACATCATGTTGCTTCTTCATTTTAATTATTACAGCATAAAGATTGTGAGCTATTATGCTGCTGGTTGAATGTTCAGAATTGGATCTCAGTCGGTAATCATGAACAACCCAACTGCAGTGAAGGGATTCTGTCTTCCTCTTCCCTGCTTCCACTTTCTTCCCTTCCTCATGTTCATTTCAAGGTAGTCTCCACATGTATGGTGGCAAGGGCTTTGTTTCTCATGATAATGATGATGGGCTGAATGCCTTCCCTATTTGCTGCAACAATTCTGTGACACAGAGGACTCTTGGACACTTGACCTTTTGAGTACTTGAGGGGTCCTCTGAGCAATCTAGGCAGGGTAATCACTGCTTCAGTACACCACTGATCTTCTCTCTGATGTTCCTATGCTGGCAGCATGGAACTCATTGCCAGCATTTTCTCCATTCACAGTTTAGGCCAAAGAGAGCCTCATGCCCAAATGGTATCCCTTGTTTCCAAGTAGACAGGTGTGATTGCATAAAGAACAGTGGGGGAGATCTGACTGCTGCAGGATGAATAAGTCTTGGCTGCTGACAGGATAGCAGGTATTTACCAACATGATATTTTGGACATTGCAGCAAACCGATGTTTTAGTGAAGTGTTAGCTCTTGACAGTTCCCTGTTTAGATGTACGGCCCACAGAATCATATACATGCACAGTCAATGACACTGCATTATTGGAAAATGTGGTAACCTAGAAATGCCAACTCTGTCCATTTCTGCGAAGATAGAAACAATGGTGTCCCTCTCCTGGACTATATGATCTCTGTCAGCTTACTGATGTAATGGTAAATGCTAAACTGGGAAAGGTTGACTATTAGGATTGAGATCAGAAGAAATTTCTTCACCCAACAAGTGATGAGCTTGTCGAATTCACTACCACAGAAAGCAGTCAAGGCCAAACATTATATGATTTCAAGAAGGAATTCAGCAGTGCATGTGGGGCTAAAGGGGTGTAAGGATATGGGGGGAAAGCAGGAACAGGCTACTGAATTGGATGACCAGCCATGATTACAATGAAAGGTGGAGCAGGCCCAAACGGTCAAATGGCCGAGTGCTGCTTCTATGTGTCCTTAGGGTACGCTTCACAATCCTTGAACAAACAGAGAATGTTGGAAAACTTAGCAGGTCTGGCACCATCTGTGTGGAGAGAGTCAACATTTTGCATCTGGTAGGATTTCTTCAGAACTTCAGCACGGGGATGTCCCTTAACCACAAGGACTGCAATGGATCGACTTTTCGCGGGCTATTAGGGATGGGAATACACGCAGGCCTAACCATCAAAACACATATCCCATGAAAGAATAAAACAAAAGCATCCTATGAAGGCCAGAATGTTCCACAGACTTCCCTGTAAGGAGGAAGCAATACTTGTTCAATGAGCAAACATTCTCTTTCACTTTTGCCCTCTGTTGCCGTGCTTATTCCAGTACTGATAGGATTACGCAGTGAAGAAGCTGTCCTCCTCCGCTGTTGTTGTGTTTTATTCCAGTACTACCAGGGTTACTCAGTGAAGAAGCTGCCCTCCTCTCTCCCTCTCCGTTGTTGCTGTGTTTTATTCCAGTGCTGACAGGGTTACTGAGTGCCCTCCTCTCTCCCTCTCCCTCCTCCACCGCTGCCCTCGGCTGAAGACTGCTGTAAAATGGCGGACGGAGAGCTGAATGTGGACAGTCTGATAGCTCGGCTCCTGGAGGGTGAGTCGCGGAATCAGTTGGAAAACGGCCTTTTGCTTTTTTTAAAAATCGTTAATGCTCCCCGGAACAGCCTTAGATTACGTTTGTTTGATTTGCGTGGGATCCGGGTTTTTGCATTTTGAGGGGCGGCTCGAAGAAACATCTCTTCACGGGATTAAAACAAACGCCTTGCCCCCACCCCCCCTGCCGGTTTCTCCCTCCCCGGACGGTTTTTTGTTTGGGTTTGGAATGTTGTCGTTTGAAACGGAAAACCTTTGTACGATTCCGTTATAAAAACGCAGAGGGATAGGTTTCGTTTTACCTGAGTGTGGCCTATTCGGGCTCCGGAGCCTCGGCGTTGTGCTGCTGACAGGGTGGGCGGGCGATGAGGGAGCCCGGGAACTCGGCGCCGGTTTAACCGGCGACAATTTCAAATGGTTCCCAACCGCCTGCTTCTCGTGAGGGTGGAAATGGAGTTAGATTTTTTTTTTCAATTCGGAGTCAAAAGCATTTCATTTATAGTATCCAAAGTATTGTAATATAACCCAGTGAGTTTTTTTTGAGTAAATGTCTTTTTTTTATAAAACAAGTGCGAATGTTTATTTCCATTTAGGCATCTCTATTCGGATCACAGTCTTGTAAAATATTTTAAATATTTTGTTTTGCAAGTTTGAAGGCCTTTGTTCTTCTCCAAAGGCTTGGATTCGAGTTAGT